GCAAAATTTGACTACTTTATAATTTACTTATTCGATTCGTTAACAAAAATTTTACATAAATATAATTATAGTTGTGCTCGATTACGATCACGAGCTAATCACAACGAGGTTGAGGCTTGAGAACACCCTTATTAACTTTTTTTTTATAATTGGCTTAAGATTAGGGTTAGTTTTGATAATAAAAATACAAAAGTGGATTTTGGTAGGTTATATTTTCAAATCGAGGTCCCTAATTTCCAGCTTCAGTCATTTCCAGCTTCAACCGTGACAATTATTATTATCGATTAAACAAGGAATTATATGGTCTTTTATTGTATTTATTCATTGCAATGAGCAAATAATTAGGATTCTCATTACAAATCATTAATATTAATATCAATATGTTGCATCTGTAGTAATGACTCGAGTTGCAGGAGAAACTAATTTATCCGACAAACTCTTATGATCATAAATGTATTTCTGTCTGTTATTTTTTCATGTATTACGAAATATTCACGTTTACTCGAATTAAAACTCAGTCGACGACTCCCTACCAATCATGATCATAAATTGTCGGATAACACCATTATTCGGCAAATTTTTGCTTATTAGCTGTTATATTTGCTTCACCAGCATTTTCAAAATTTCATCAGTTTCACCTGCAACTTTAGTAGTGACCTATCAAATTATTAATTCATTATGCTAATTTCAATGACTTAATTTTATCCATTTGCTACTTTGAATATCATAAGTAGCTACTACGATACTGTGACAAATATTGAATTAAATAGTAAATATATTTATATTTATGAACTTAAATAGTCTTATTTTGAATAAATATATTAAATTCTTATATCGGGATAAATCAAAATCTATCGCTAAAAGTGTTGTTACATGGATTGCAGATCATCACGAGAACCTTCTTTCATTGACAAACATTGCTCAAACAGAAGAACCCTTGCTATGATTCGAACAATTAAATTTAAATTCGTTATATCGAGGACACCTTTATGTATCGAAATATAAATATAATGATGCAAAACTTCCATCTCTAGAACTTCGTTATATCGAGATTATACTATTATAAAGTATTAAAAACAAAAAAAAATTGTAATCTTACTTACAAACCTAAAGATTAGTTAAACAGTTAAAAGCGTACTTTTTCTTTGCCTCTCTCTTTCGTTCTCTTCTTTTATTGCAGCATCTTTGGTCTTTATAGCTGAGATAAAGCTATTATCGGCTTCAATAGCTTCATTGTCGACTTCACATCTTGAAACAACGAACTCTTTGACACATTCCATGATTTCGTTCTCGAGAGCAATATCTCCATTATATTGTTTTGTTAACCATTGGGATGACTTTTCATAGTTATCGATCCATTCCTGTCGATAATCAACAGCAACTAATCGTAGATACCAAATAGTGCATGCAGTTACCCAA